GTGAAAGCCGATCTGGCGATCCACAGCGCGAAGTTAATGTATTCCCTCAGCGAACAGCACGGATCAGCTCCAGGCATGACGAAGCGGATATCGTCCTCTTTTGGAAGACCAAACAAAATAGTTTCGCTTTCACAATGAAGCACACAGCGTCTTTACGACATGGCGGCAGCGGCAACAATACTACAGCGAGAATAAAAGTTATGCCTTCTTTCTTTGCGTGAACATTTGGGCGGCGTTATGCAAATCTTCCCACATCGTGATGTAGATATGTGGGGGCGTGTTAGAACGAGCCGTTTTAGGTAGGCGTGGTTAACTCTTAACTTTTATAAAGAATATCTCTTTGGATTTGAGACTTTAGTCTTTGCAACTTTACAGATCTTCTTTATGCACCAAGAGCTTGTAACACTCCAAAGAGAAAGGAAAAATTGAAATTGCATCATATGACCCCTTTAAATTGCAATAATATTTCACATTTTTATTGTATTTTACTGTATTTTTGATCAAATAAATGCAGCCTTGGTGAGCAGAAGAGACGTTCAAAAACATTAAAAATCGTACCGACCCCAAACTCTTGAAGTTTAGTGTATGTTACTGAACATGGGCAGTGCTTTTGTATCATATTTTGGTACATATCCCAAAAAAACACTGTATTACATGGGTCCATCTCCATAAACAGGATACCTTTTATACCTTTCTGTAAACACCAACTGTTATGAATATAAACTATAGACAGGGACAGTTCCTGTATGAAATTAATACTCACTACTGGAATGTTTCGTTGTATTTTGGAGACCAGTTGTTATTCTTGGTTTTGGTGCTAAACTTGCGTTTCTTGTCAGCCAGGTGCGGGCCGATGGCATTGATCTCCACGAAGGGCCGAAACATGGCGTTCGTCTGCCAGTTGATATTGTTCACACCCACAACTGCAGAAAAAGAGGATGGTCTCGAGTTAGATCATCAAACATAAGTGAGACATGTTCAGTTATATGACTCCTATATCACACCTAGAAGGCACAAGTTAGATATCACTACTAGAGTGAGTTATCTAGACTTGGAGAAAACCAACATTGGACATTCAGACCTGCTTACACTGGGGGAATAAAGGTATAGGATTTACAATTTTCACTTATAAATTTCTAGTAAATTTTACAAATAATTACAAAGAAGCAACAATACATTGAATTAAACATGAAATGTTGATGTAGAAAGTGTGGAAGCCCATTTCTGTCACAGAATAAAAAAATAAAGTAATAGCAAGTTTTTATCTCAAAATTCAGACTTTTTTTTCTAAGATTATATCTCACAATTTTTTCTCAGAATTGCAAGATATATCTTGCGATATGAGTTTATATCTCGTGATACGCGTTTGTATTTGAATTGTGAAAAAAGTCTGAATTGTGATTTAAAAGGTCGCAACTATCATTTTTATTTCTTATTTTTTGGTGGAAACAGGCTTCCATAAGAAAGACTGAAATAGTGTTTTCTTTTCAAATAAACTAAAATATTCTTTTATATATATATATATATATATATATATACAGTGTAATAAAATAGGTCACATGCTGTATTATAAGACATAATTACGGCTGATTGGATGAGGTAAATCTGGTCATTTAATTTTATATTGTGCCAAATTGCTTAGCAGCAGTAAACAGCCTACAGATTTATAAACAACAATAAATCATGGAGAAAGTTAATTAGGAATATTATAATGTCCGTTTTGTGGCATTCCTCAAAGTCATAAATTCATAATAACACAATGTCACTGATATTGTTTTGATTAGAAAGTGTAAATTAGTTTTTATGTATTTTTGTAAATGATTTTTCATGCAAATGTAAATTACAGTTAGCTAGACAGTTACAGTTAGCATGCAGACTAGTTAGCTAGTCTGTTATGAAGCAGTGTTTGTGGTCATTAATTGGGTTTGTTGTGCAGGTGTCTCTCAGCAGTCCAGTTTTCGTGTCTCCTGTAGAGACAGAGCTCATTAACAGATCCTGAGCTCTTGATAAAGCAGCCAGATGAGAGCCATTACAGCAAGAGGAAACTTTCATTCTGCTAATTACAGCAGCAGCAAACGCTTTATCGGTGAAATTACACTAACTGATTAAAAGAACACAGTGTCAGTGGCAAAGAGAAACATGCTAATTTGGGTAATTTAGACTTAAAAGAGTATCTTAATCATGAATTAGTGTGCGTGTTTTACCTTTGACACTGACTTTGTGCTCTCCAGTGCCGGGGTGTGAGATCAGGTCCACCTGAATGGCGACCTCCCCGATAGATCCAGACGTGGACTGACCTGGAATCAGTTTTGAGACATTCAGATAAGAGCATGCATTACACACTGAGCCACAAGCCAGACACACAGTAAAACCATAGAACAAGTGATTAATGAAATGTGCTTCGGCTTGGCTTATGTCAATTATCATGTTGTAGTAATAAACCAACATATAAACAAATAAACCAACATACAAACACACATCCAAAAATCTGCTATATTATAATTATTAAACTATAATAATAAATCAATAGATGGTAAATATGCAATTTTGAACATTATCTGCCAGAGCAACTGATGCATAAATATAAACAGAGTAAGAATTACGATTTAAGAAAATTATAATTAAGAAAAAGAATTATAACTTTATACTGTATTATACTATATATATATATATTTTTTTTTTTTACTTCTTTCCAATACAACAATAAACCAACTTAGACTACATATTAGGTATAAGGCACATAAAAAGTACAAAAATTTACAAAAATTAAATTAAAGTAAAAGCTGGTGCAATGTGGAATTTAGTTCATGTCTGTTTGCAATTCAAAGTCACCTGAAATTTGGAAATTGAAGCCAATAAAGCTAATAAAGTGTAACTTTGTGTAACTTTATTACAGAGAAAGTTAAAGACAGCAGATGCTTTAGGGTTGTTTTGAGAAAAAAAGATTAAAATATGAGGCATTGCTATCTTTCAGAAAAGTCAATATAATCTATCCTGAGAGAGATTCATTTCCCCTCGATTCATCTTTACTAGCTGTAGACTGAATTCACAATCCCATAAGTCTAGTCTAATGGATTTCATGGTTGTTGAATTGTATAGTTTTGAAAATATAATACTCTGTCCTCACTGGAGTAGATCCAGACAGATCGCTGCTGAACGGGAGAATAACGGAGGAGTAAAGGGTGTGTTTTGTATCTTTGCGTTTGCCCTTCAAGGTTTGCAGCAAACATGGAAACTGTCAAGGCCACATTTGGGCAAACTAACTCAAGAGCGCATGACACGTGTCAGCTAAATGAACGACTACAGAAAGACCTACAGCATCCACAGCAGACAACAACAATCAATCACCATTGGACTAACCTCGTCTCTGCCTTCATTTGTTCTCTGACCTCGTAACAAACGCCGGCTTTCATAAAGACTTTCTGTGGCAGATGCCTGAAGAGGCTGTGGATTTATTTCCCAGGCCACATTTAGATACGGAAATGCAAATAATTTTTATGATAACGCTACAAAGTGCTAATAAAGCTGTTGCTTTTAACAATAATTATTGCAATTATAACAGTAAATCAACAGGTGGTAAATACAATTTAGAACGTCTGCTAATAATTGCTAACTAGTAAAATAACAAAAACAAATAATAATAAAGTATATATATATATATATATACATATACTCTGTCCTCACTGGAGTAGATCCAGACAGATCGCTGCTGAACGGGAGAATAACGGAGGAGTAAAGGGTGTGTTTTGTATCTTTGCGTTTGCCCTTCAAGGTTTGCAGCAAACATGGAAACTGTCAAGGCCACATTTGGGCAAACTAACTCAAGAGCGCATGACACGTGTCAGCTAAATGAACGACTACAGAAAGACCTACAGCATCCACAGCAGACAACAACAATCAATCACCATTGGACTAACCTCGTCTCTGCCTTCATTTGTTCTCTGACCTCGTAACAAACGCCGGCTTTCATAAAGACTTTCTGTGGCAGATGCCTGAAGAGGCTGTGGATTTATTTCCCAGGCCACATTTAGATACGTAAATGCAAATAATTTTTATGATAACGCTACAAAGTGCTAATAAAGCTGTTGCTTTTAACAATAATTATTGCAATTATAACAGTAAATCAACAGGTGGTAAATACAATTTAGAACGTCTGCTAATAATTGCTAACTAGTAAAATAACAAAAACAAATAATAATAAAGTATGTATATATATATATATATATATATATACACACACACACAAAGAAACACAAAATATAATAATAGTAATTAAAATAATAATATTCAATATATTATATAAATGATATTGTTATACAAATATATTTTATATAACCAATATATACTATTATGTAAATAAATTTCTTCTTTCTATTTTAAAATTACTTCTTACAGATTCACCAGTAAGTCATATTAGACTACATATAAGACATTCAAGAATATAAATACAAAAAAATTACAAAAAATATATTAAAGGGGTGGTTCATTGTGATTTCACTTGTTTAACGTTAGTTAGTGTGTAATGTTGCTGTTTGAGCATAAACAATATCTGCAAAGTTACGAAGCTGAAAGTTC